TTTAAATAAATGTCAATTTTTTTACTACTCATTATTTTATATTAATTAAAATTAAAAGATTTAAAAATTATCATTAATTTTATCATCAGTATTATGTAGATTATTTTAATTGAACAAATGTTTAAATAAATGTCAATTTTTTTACTACTCATTAATATAAAAAGTGTAATGATTATACCTTTAATTGGTAAAATGACACATCTGGTCCTTCAACTTCTATATTATGATCACATTGATTCTAAAACTTCAAATTCATTCATTTTAGTAGATAACTGCAACTTTTCTTCTCAAAATGTAATCCCCAAACTTTTAAAAATGTTCAATTAAGTTTTAAAACTTTTATTATTATGCATTTAAGTCTTTTTTCTACACAAAGAATGAACACTATGTTAAATCTATAAAAAAAATTAACATTACTTACCCAAATATCAATAAGGGTTAAAATAATAAATTAAAATATATAAAATGCATTCTATCAATTTAATTTGGTTCTTGTTTGTTTCATTAACCAAACTCACCAAAGGGGATTCAAACTCCGCTTTCGAATAAACAAAATAACTCTTAAGTTTCATTTAGTATGGTCAAAATTTTTTATTTATGATTTTAGTTGCCAAAATTTAAACAATCAAAATAAGCCATTCAAAACCAAAATTAATTTATAAACTTGTACCAACACCCATCACTAAAAGTTAATTAATTTATAAAACTTGTTAATTTTATTTTATAGTTTCTTAAATTCTGAAAATCAAAACTAAAAATAAAACCCACAATCATACTAAACAAAGAATTACTAATTAATTGACAAGCTCACGTGCAACATGCTATTTTAATGGTTTCTCCAACTTAAATAAAGAAAAAATACTAGCGATCAAAATGTTAGTGTAATAAAAGTTTGGGGGAATAATTAAAAAACCAAAAGGGCAATTTTCTATATTATTCTAGGAAAGAGCATGATTGAAATCATTCAAAAGGAGCTCACCCTAATTTTCTTCTCTTTCGTTTGTTTTCTTCTTCTCCTAGCTGTTGCTATCTCCCCCTCCCTCAATGGGTACGGTGGATGGCAAATAAGGGAGCTCTCTCTTCTCTTATGAGGGTTTTTTCCTCTCCTGTGGAGGTTTCTTCCTCTTTTTGAAGAATTTTAACCTAAACTTCTAGATACTTTTTATCAAGATTCACTTTTTCTTAAAAGAGGATAGCAACTTAAATGCAATATTGATTGAAATTAGATCAATTGTCATTCTTGCTTCAACTATTAAAGGTTTGGTTGGGAACAGATCCCTAACTAAACTTTTCTACCCCAACCAATTTATTTTTTATCTAGATGAATTATTTTAGAATGCTACCTAACTATTAAATCTTGAGCCTAGGTACATTTGGCTATAATAGTCATGTAGACATCAAATTATTTAATTTTATGTTTTTACACAATTTATGAGTGTAATACTTCTAGCATATTACCTCATACTACCTCATACGAGTTAGTACGATAACCCTTATGCTTTTCATATATTAATGAAATTATATTTCTCATTAAAAAAAAATTCATTCAAAAGGGGAAAAGGCCAAAAGAATTAAGAAGAGGAACTATCATAGAAAATAACATTAAAATGCAAGTCGTCCTTTGAAAAATCAAACTAAGTTGGATTGCGTCAAGCTTGACAGTACAACGCCAAACTTACGCAGTTTACCTGCCAAATTGAAATGGCTCTCAGTTTACACGTTTATAACTTCATATATATGAAGATATTTTTGAATCAATGTTTGGATTTTATTTCTTGACTAACAGAAGGCAAGTCTTTGTTTACAGGTTAAATCCCCTTGGTCCTCAACTTTGGATTGTGGATCCTTTTGGGTCTCTAAACTAAATTTAGAATTTTTTTTTTTCCCTAAACTCCTCAATTTGGCTTTGAGAAGGGAGAGAAAGTTAGGGGGAAAAGGGTGAGGTGTTGATGAAGAACGAAGAATGAAGGGTGAACTGAGAAGATTCTGAAAGGGAATCCAATCTGGGTTCTCCCTCATTTAATTTATTTTTTATTATGTTTTTTTATTAGTTTTGTTACATCTATTGATGTTCGGGTCCCCAATTTATACAGTTCATCAAGGACAATGACCAGTGTTCCCAGAACCCCAGAGAAAAGTTGCAACTATGGAGGTTTCCTTAATTTTTTTATTCAAACCTCTAAATAATCTTGAAAGTGGAATCAAATTGAAATTGCAAGTACCATTTAACTCTAGATTTTAATTTTATATATTAAGGTCATCATTGATTTAGTTGAAGAATCCAACAATGGATTTTTGCTGGACTGTTTGTACGTTGTTGGGAAACTGAAAGAAATTAGAGAGAAATAGTGAGGGTAAAGTAGAGGATGAGGTTTTAGTATATAAAAGCAAAAATGTCGTTAATGGAATAAGGTATTTGAACCTTTATTAAATGTTAAGAATTATTTCTTAATCGGTGAGGACAATGTAGTTTGGAAATCACAATTGTATCCATTAGTAAATATAATAATTTTTATAACATTATATAATATTATGTGTATCAATTTATATGTGATTTTAAATAATTAATTAATAAAAAATATCACATTATTTCGTACAAAATATTCAACTTAATTACAAATAAACACATAATATTTTCTTTTTTTATTAAAAAAATATTATTAAATTATTTAGGTAATTCACAATGACTTTCTTAGATAATGAGATATCTTAGATTATTGAATTGTCACTCTTAGTAGAGGATACTACAGACAGACGTATTAGATTAGTGCACTTTCATTTACTATGGTAAACTTGAAAATTTAGTGCTCCCTTTCTCAGTCCACTAATTGGTTACGTCAATATACTTACGCGATAAGAGGCAATATCATTGAAGCCTGTCATCGAGAAATTTAGATCCATGAAGATGAAGGTCCACATGTCTCTGATAACTTTCCTTTTCATCAGCTAAAAGTCTATGGTTCCACACGAAAGCACATCTTCTTTGGAAATTTGAGTCAGCTGACACATTCGATCTCATCCCATTACCCTTTTACTCTCAATGTATGTGCATAGCAGAATGCATTGAACATGTGGGCTAACAAAGTTTAGGCTATAATGTTATTTAAAATTTAGATATGTGGCCTTTAATAGTAATTTTATATTCAACTTAAAATTAATTGGTAATAAATAAAATGATACTTTTTACAAAAATTTTTGTTATATTATTGATATGAAAATTTTCTACTCAACACAACTTCCATTGAAAAGGAAGCTTAGAATTTTATTCACATAATTGTTGCACAATTTACAACTTCCATGAGAGGGCCAGAAATCAACTAGAAACACTCAATACAATTAAGTTTTATCGATGATTTATTTGTTTGAATAAAAGAAATTCAGTTTTTTAAAAATAAAATTTTGAATTTAAATTTGTAAATAAAGAAACAAATGCTGAGAAAACTTCAACTTATAAGATATAACCCAAACTGATTTTAAATTAGAGGAATGCTAGCTGCACTCGCCTTTCTCCAGCACTCTCCAACACTCTCTCATGTAAAATGTCCACGTAACAAAATTTGGCTCGCAATTCAAAGCTTCCAACTAGAAAAGTTCACGTGGCTATTTTAGATGAGGGAGTGTTGGAGAGTGCTGGAGAAAGGCGAGTGCAGCTAGCATTCCTCTTTAAATTAATAGATATTTAATATAATTTTTTTATACTAAACGGCTCAGTAAAAAGAAAAATACAGCTAAGTTTCTACATTGAAGCTCTCGAAGTAGCATCCATCAAGTTCCCCTTTTACCAAAAAAAAAAAAAAACCATCAAGTGACCGTGTACCCCACAGCCTAAACGGGGTTTTTTTTTTAAAAAAATACCACTGTAGTGTTTTGCGGGGATGGTGAGGGGATGATATTACAAGTCTGCAGTAAGGTTCGAAGCCATAACCCCGGCGCCAATTCATTAGAGCCACTTGCAAGTGTTGCCCATGTGGGTGGCTACGGCTTACGCAGTGTTTTACTTGTCAAATTTAAATGGCTCTAAAATTTCTTCATTCACAGATATTTTTGTGTTGGGGCTTTCTCAACCGGGTTTAGCCGTTTAGTTGTGACTTCTGTGATTATAAAGAAAGGGAAGACATCAAGGTACAATTTTCATGTGAATTTTCTTGGAAGATTCGGTCGTCTGGCTAAATGGTGGGGCATTAGCTCGGTCTCACAATCTGGAGGTTTTGGGATCATTTCTTAGAAAATGCTCGACCATTTACAAGAGGAAACTCAAAGAAAGGTTGGCAAATAATATGGTTTGTGGCAATTGGGTCAATATGACTATGGAGAAATCCAAAGGTATTCAAAAGAGTATTGGATTTATAGGAAAAGTTAGTAGAATTGAGCTAATTAGGGTCGCTATTGGATTAAAGCAAACTTATGGCCATCTTTCTCCCAAGAAATTTGGTTTAATTCCCCAAGACAGTGGTGACGCAGATTTGAGTTGAACAGTGGGCTACTGATTAATTCTCAAGGCTTATCATGCTAG